TCAGGGGTGAAGTTGTTCGTGCTACTTGTTATCTAATAAACAGATCACCACTAGTACCATTGAATTTTGATATTCCATAAAAGGTGTGGTCTAGTAGGAACCACTCCTATTCCCACTTAAGAATATTTGGGTGCAAGACATTTGCACATGTATACAAGGAGTAGAGACAGAACCTTGATGTCAAGACCACTCTGTGCATTTTTATAGGCTACGAAGATGAAGAATTAGAATACATATTGTGGATCCCAAAGGCTAAAAAGATCATCAAGAGCAGAGACATGGTGTTCCATGAAAACCAGTTAAATGAGGATTTTGAAAATCCCACAAAATCTAATAGTTCTAGTTTCACTGCACATGACATTGTTCCAGACCCTGTATCGTTACAGTTCACCACAGATAATGATGAAGCACAAGATGAAGCTCTAGAATCAAAACAACATAATGAAGGTGTTGAGTAGGGGGAGTTGCAACCCCCTCCACCAGATGCTGTAGGACCATCGCATTAATCAGATGATGGTATACCTCATATTGCTAATGAGCCTCAATCACGAAGATCTAAAAGAGGACGTATTTCATCAAGTAGATAGCCAGAGTTAGACTATATTTTGCGTACTGATGAGGATGAGCCGGAGTGATTCTATGAAGCACAAGTTCAAATAGATAAAGACAAATGGATGCAAGCAATGTAAGATGAGATGAATTCCTTGTAGAAAAATCAAACCTATGAGCTAGTGAAGCTTCTAAAAGGCAAGAAAATACTAAGAAATAAATAGGTGTTCAAGCTGAGCGAAAAACTGATGAATTATAAGGCTCGATTGGTCGTTAAAAGATTCCAATACAAGGAAAGAATTGATTTTGACAAGAATTTCTCACCAGTTGGTAAGATGACATCAATTCGAGTCATTCTCGAAGTAGTAGCCAGTTTAAAGTTAGAACTTGAACAAATAGATGTGAAAACAACATTTTTTCATGGAGATATGAATAAAGAAATCTATATGGAACAACTAAAAGGTTTTGAAGTTCTAGTAAAGAAAAATCTAGTCTGTAATTTCAGGAAGAGTCTGTACGGCCTCAAGCAAGCTCCAAGACAGTGGTATAAGAATTTTGACTCATTCACGATGGGTTAAGGCTACAAGAGGGCTATTGCAGATCAGTGTATTTATGTTCAGAGATTCTCAAATGGAAATTTCGTTGCACTCCTACTTTATGTTGACAACATGTTGATCATCAAAATGATGCCACAAAGATTAGTCAATTAAAGAAGGAATTGTCCAAGTCCTTTGACATGAAGGACTTAGGGCCAGCTCAGCAGATACTAGGCATGAAGATTGCTCGTGATAAAAAAAAACTAAGAAATTATAGCTATCACAGGAAAAATACGTTGAACAAATGATCTAGAGGTTCAACATGGATACTGCCAAGCCAGACAACATCTCACTAGCTAATCATTTCAAGTTGAGCAAGATTTTTTGTCCCTCATCAAAGAAAGAGATAAAATATATGGCAAAGATTCTCTACTCTTCAGCAATTAAGGGTCTAATGTACTCAATGATGTGTACTATGCCATAAATTGCCCATGCAATGGGCATGGTAAGCAGATTTCTTTCCAATCCAGGGAAAGAACATTGGGAGGTGGTTAAATGGATTCTCAGATAACTTAAGGGTACATCAAAGATATGCTTGTGTTACGAGGGAGTTTAACTAATTTTGGAAGGCTATACAGATTCAGATATGGCAGGAGATCTTGATGGTAGAAAATCTACATCATGATTTCTCTACATTTTTGGAGGGAGAGCTATGTTATCGCAGTCAAGGTTGCAGAAGTGCATTGCTTTATCCACGACAAAGACAAAGTATATAGCTGTAGTGGAAGTTGGTAAAGAAATGTTGTGGTAAACGGTTTCTCCCAAGAACTAGATATTAAGCAGAAGGAATACAAGGTGCATTGTGATAGTCAAAGTGCTCTAGTCTTAGGCAAGAACTCCATGTACCATTCCCGAACAAAGCATATTGATATTCGCTATCATTGGATAAAACATAATGTGATCTGCGGGGACTAGCCCCAATCAATTCTATGCAAAATTTCAAATACTATGCATTGTTTATCAATGACTTCATTCAATTTGCCAAGATCTTCCCACTTAAAAATAAGTCTGAATTCTTTGAATTTTTTATACAATTTTCTACCATGATGCATACTTAATTTGGCAAGCAGATAAAAAAAATTCAATGTGCTGGAGGTGGGGAATTCCAGAAAAATGAATTCTTGAATTTTGTCAGCAAATGGTGTTGTACATCACATATCTCGTCCTTCCACATAAGAGAAAAATGGCATAGCTGAGCGCAAACATCGTCCTCAACATGGACACACGATGCGGTGCCATCCCTATCTCAAGGAGTATGGTAAGAACAAGCATTTGCTGAAAACCTTGCCCTATGTGTTTGTTGGATATAGCTCTCTTCACAAAGGATATCGGTGCCTCCATGTATCAGCTGGAAAAATTTTTATCTCTCGACATGTTGTGTTTAATGAGACAATGTTTCCTCTTACCCCCACCCATAATTCTACGTCATGGTGATCAATCTCCTATTTTCAGCAGCTATCATGATTGGGTGGCGATATCGAATCTCATTGGGTATAATAATAACCACAAATGGTACAGCTATCTGGATCTTGTCACACGTTGAGTTTATATTTCTCTTAATGTTAACTTTGATAAGTCCACCTTCCCCTACAAAGATATGCAACCCCAACCACCCTCACCATCTACCCCACCCACACGACTAGTCTTCCTTCAGCAACTTCCCAATTCACATGACCTTCCCTATCTCCTTTTCCTCTTGAAAATTCTTCTTCACCCGTACATCCATTGCCTTCACCAGACTCCCCTACAACTGTACGGTCCTTTCCATTAATTGGCTCTTCCCCATCTTCGGATGGACAATCCCAAGCTATGGTCAATTCTCCTCTATTTATTGACTAAACTTCTTCCCCGAATCCTTTGCTGGCCACTAAGTACCCTCAGCCATATAGACCTGAGTCTCCTTTACCCACTACTTCTCAATCTGCTCCCACACCCAAGAAACTCAAGAGCATCAACCAGCTAGTCTATGGTGCCCCTCGACATCCTCTTCCCCATGCCCTGGTTTCTAACCTAATCGGCCCTCTCACCTTCGAGCCATCGTCATACCAAGCTTCCAAATTTCCTCACTGGAAATTAGCTATGCAAGATGAACATGATGATCTCTTACGCAATCACACTTGGTCACTTGTACCAGCAACAACCTCAATAAATATTATTGGTTGTCGGTGGGTGTTCAAAGTAAAACAACTTGTTTATGGTTCTATCAACCATCACAAAGCCGGTCTGGCTACCAAAGGATTTAACTAAAAAGAAGGACTAGACTATGATGAGACTTTTAGTCTAGTTGTCAAACTATCCACCAGTCGTACTGTCCTTGCCCTTGCCATCTCTCGCAAATGGCACTTACAACAACTTGATGTTCATAATACTTTCCTTAATGGAATTTTGCAAGAAGAAGTTTACATGAAATAACCACTAAAGAATTATCTGGCATTCCTCGACACATACTATCATTCTCCTTGTATATGTTGATGATTTAGTCATCACTGGGGATGAAGCTATTGAAATTGATCATTTTATAATTCACTTATGTTCAGTCTTTGATAGTCGCAAGTTGGGAGATCTGAGCTTCTTTCTAGGCTTGGAAATTCAGAGAACATCAGACACCATTTATCTCTCTCAAGCTTGTTATGCCTCTGATCTGTTGAGCAAATTCAACATGGCCAAGTGCAAACCATGTTACCACTACAACTAAAATCGTTTTTTGCGATGATTTTTTCGTCACTAAATTAAAAAAAATCATCGCCAAAAATTTTTTGTGACGTTTTTTTTCCGTCGCGTGTTCGTCCTAATAGCCTTGTCGTAGAAAGTATCTTACGACATAATTTTATTTTCGTCGCAAAAAAAAAACTTTTTTGCAACATTTTTTTTTCATCGCCAAAAATAAAAAAACGTAGCTAAAAACTATTCCAGCAACGTAAAAAAATTTTAAAAAATAATTTAATTAATTTTTCACGACGTAAAAAAATCATCGCAAATATATTTTTCATAAATAAAACATTTAAAAAAATAATTAAATTAATATTTCACGACGTACAAATATTGTCGTCAATAAATTTTTATATAAATAAAAAATTTTAAAAATAATAATTAAATTAATCTTTCGCGACGTAATAAAATCGTCGCAAATATATTTTTCATAAATAAATTTAAAAAAAGAATTAATTTATTGTTAGCGACGTAAAAAAAAGTGTCGCCAATAAATTTTTTATAAATAAAAAATTTTAAAAATAATAATTAAATTAATTTTTCGCGACATAATCAAATCGTCGCAAATATATTTTTCATAAATAAAAAATTTTAAAAATAATAATTTAATTAATTTTTAACTACGTAAAAGAATTGTCGCAAATATATTTTTCATAAATAAAAAATTTTAAAAATAATAATTTAATTAGTTTTTAGCGACGTTAAAAAATCGTCGCAAATAATTTTTTAAATAAATAAAAAATGTAAAAAATAATTAATTAAATAGGACCGTGGATGCGTACACAGCTGCATTTGAGCTATGAAATAGGAGCTGGAAAAAAAATTGATTTCATTCATATTGAGTTATAATCACACCATTCAAATATTTAATAAGACTAAGAAAAGGAAAATTTTATTGATAAAAGAAACAATTACAAGAATCAAAGAACAAATTTGTTTGAAAGAATACAAGAAATGACTTTAATCCTTCAAGATGATTAAAACCATTTTTAACTACTTTACCGCATCTTCTGATCTTCACATTCAGCTCCTAGAATCTGTCCAGCTACTGAGCATGTTGTTCAGTACCTTAGAACCAGACAGATTCTGGCAGACACTTTGTAGCCTTCAAAATGCACAGGCAGCAAGCATCTCCAATGCACAACATCACACTGGCATCATCCCAGCAGCTATCCTCAAACCCTCCACAGTAGTGTAGCAGAAACACAGCAGATACAACCCCATTAAACTGCCTGCTCCATTCAATATACCTCTTGAACTGATTCTGCTAAAACACATCCAACTGCAAGCAGTACCCCACAAACAGAAACCAATGGTCATTACAAATGAAAGGTACCCTTAATAACAACCTTTCTACTGCACTAGGGCTGAACACCTTAGCCTAAATTCTCAAAATCTCACAAACTCTTACAAAAATAGCGCCAATAGATAAACAACCCTCATCATAAACTCTCCTACATGATCAATAGGTGCATACATACAAATTGTTTGTGTTTTGCAAATAGCAACTACAAGGAATAATAAAAAGCAAGCTAGTCTGTAAGCTGATTGAATTGCTAGGACTAATGTATTCAGTAAGAATACTGTAGGGGGGGGGTTTAAATATAAGACAATATTGAAGTGGCATGATTTAGAAAATAATGACTCAAAACCAAAATAGGTATGCTGAATATTTAGCACCAAATAGTGCATACCTCACCGTGACGCCCTTTGGAACAATTTCCTCCATTTTACTGTGACACATGTTGTATAGCTCAACAAGTTCTTTCTGCAAAGATATAACATATTAATTCATGACTTCATGATTTGAATCCAAAATTTGGCATGGCCATAAACAGTTGAACTAAACTGTGCACATATATTTCTGGTGAATACTAGGACTCCTTAAAAATTATTGTAACACATGCAGCAACATTGTTCATTCATTTAACATATAAATTATTTGTGTCAAGGATTGATCAGATAGAGGTTTAATTTTCATTGGCCAGAAAAGTGACCTAGTTTCTTCACAGGGGAGTCAAGGCCCCTAACTAATCGATGTATAGGTTAGGCAAGAGTAATTCCACTAAACATTTCTCTAAGCACAAGGATTGCATCCCTGGTTTTTAACACCTCAGAAGAAGGATTCACTGATAAAGAGCAAGCAGCTATAAACAACATGTAAATTATAAGTTTATTAAACATATTTGAAGACTTTTGAGCTATATGGGCACCTAAAAGACTTGCAATAATGTAGAAGATGTGCAATCTGGAACTCTAACTTTCATTCTTGCTATGCACTCCATTTGCTTACTTTATGGTGCAATTATATTCTAATCAATTAAGAATCAAGTACACTTCAAACAAAAGTTCGATATGCATACTGTGTCAGTGCCAAGAAAAGATTATAACTAATTGTGTGCACACTTGGTGGAAAAGGCATTTACATAGCCATGGGTTGCCAATGTGTATTCATTCCAGACCCAGATTTAAGGGAAGCCTTCCTCATGCAGTTAAATAACTGAAAAATGCACAAAATTAGTACCTCATCCGAACTGACTAATTGATCTAACAAAGATGAAGTGCTTTTTATAGCAACTTTTTGAACATCCATTCCATAAACATGACCTCTCTTTGACTGATCAGCAACCATTTTGAGCATTGCCAAGGTGTCATACCCATTTCCACAAGTGGCATCAACAACCGCATCCCCTTTCCGGACAACATGTTTCCACACCCTGTTAAAGGAAATAAACACATAAAAAAAGGCATCATTTTAAGTGATACTTTGAACTACTTTTATACAAAATATGACCACAGACCCTTTTTAAAGATTAGTAAGATTGATTAATTGAGCAATTATAGCAACAAAAAATTTTCCTAAAGGAGGCAAAGGCTCACAAGTCACAACCTTGGGGCATAAATTGTATTGCCAAAAGCCTCAAAGAAGGCTTCAAAAATTTGATAGTATAGTTGTACGAAGAGCAATCAAAATCCAAGGAACATAGCATATGTAAATTCATTTTTCAAATCCGCATGTTGGGCCTATCAGTAATGCAAGCTGTGCTGCACTACCATTTCTCATGACAATGAGTGAAGTTGATTAATATGGGAGTTTTACTGTTCAACTAACTGCACCAATAGTGAGCTAACACAAAGCTATTGAAATCATTGGAATAAAACAAGAAGATTGAAAGAGCATGAAAGCAGGGTGAAAAAGATGATTCATATTTTTTCACAATAACTAATACATGCATGCCCATGTTCCATATAACCAAGATTTGACCCCTACACGTACTACTTTGCCAGCAGCGGGAGATACCACTCAAGTTAACAGCAGATGATCCCTCGATAACTTTTTCAACTTTGCCAAAATAGAGTTTTAAAAAGATGGTAGACATATTAATGCAGACAAGAAGAACGCAAAAAAAAAAAAAAAACAAACAAACAAACGAGTGTGGAAAATTTCTAAACAAAACATCACCAAAATTGATGAAACAAGACAATGTGTTCCAATCTTTCCTTGTGTAGGCTTTTAATTTTGTAGTTCATGCAAGCTCATATATGCAAACTAAGAAACTTAAAACTCTACCACCAAAATTCATGAAACAAGACAATGTGTTCCAATCTTTCCTTGTGTATAATTTCTTAGTTCATACAAGCTCATAGATACGAACTAACAAACTTAAAACTCTACTAGATTTAGCATGTGCTTTTGGTAATATCAGTGTTTGTTAGGATACAGAATATGACAGTATAAATGCATGAATGAAAGGATTGGCTGGATTGGAAATACCTTTTGCATCAGTGCAACCACCAACTCAGGGTTCTCTGGTATTCCATGATCTAGAAAAGCCTGAAGCATTGTGTATATAGTTAGTGGCTCTTACTTTTATACCAAACACACGGCAAACATGGCATAGGATTTAAAGTGAATGCACCAACCAATCCAACCACTCCCGATATATGGAGGACTATCCAAAATATATCTTAAATAGTTTATTGAAATATGTTCATAGAATGATTTCACATACATTCATCATGCACGAATTGTAAGTGTTGATCCAAAAAGCAAGCTTCTCTTGATGGTTAAGGCCCTGTAAGTCAACCAATGCAAGTTTCCCAAGTAAGAGTCTGAGAAAACAAGAGACACTATATTTAAGCCCAAGCAGATATGAGACATATGAATTCAAATTCTGAGCAAAGGCCGGTAATTTCTAATACACCTAGCAATGCAACACTGTGCACCAATTATCCTTTCTAGGCAACACATATTAAGATACAAAGAAGACTACTGTGATGTCCAAATTTTCAGAAGCAACTATACAAAATATAGAACATTTTTCATGGTCGACAAACTTTTCATGCTCAGTTTCAAGAGAAAATTCTTGACCAGGTGAGCCATCAATAGTGTCCAGATCTGCAGGCTGGACACTATGCCATAACTGTGTCATAGTGGGTGTTTCCTTGCAAGCACGTGACATAACTTTATTTGGACAGTTAAACACATGAATTAAATTTCTAAAATTTCTGGGTAACACGAACATGCACATAAATTTGTCGATGAAAAGAAAATTCAGCAAACTTAACTTACTGATCCATTGACAGTCAAGCAAGGACAAGACTCATTTTAAATAGTTTGATCATTTGCAAACAAAGACCAATTTCTTCTGAAGTAGGAAATAATAATGTCCCTTTGTGCAAAATGAAGCCACTATACTCCTTATCAGGATCCTAGCATCAAATAACTTCAAACAGGTGATCATGTAAACATTCGTATGAGCCATGAGCACATATCAACATAATAAATGGTACCTTGAATGCAGGTGCACAAGATATATTTGACATGGTTATTAGAATTGAGCCTTTTGCACCCATTTTAACAATCACCCATTTTGTGCGGACCCTTTTCCTGAGCAACTCCTGGGCTGCCAGTATTGGATTTCCTATTCCAGTCAATGATTCATCCTGACAAGCCATCAACATAAGCTATATTACTAGGATGAAAAGTGAAAATTATACTAGAATGGATGATGCATCATATAAATAACATTAGATACAACAAAAGTTGCCCACACTGCCTTATGGATAGAATTGATGATGTCGGATGTTGGTTTCATTTATTAACGAATCTAATTTACTCTTTCCAGATTCCTTCAAAGGACTGGAAAATAAATATAGACAGGCCGATCCACAGTGAAGCCTTAGACATGAGTACAGATAGTTCATTTAGAGAATTGTATAGTCTTTATACCTCAAAACAATTAATGTTATAGGTGGTGTGGACCGAACAAATTCAGTGAACTTACACACTTTCAATGATCAAATATATTAGGTACCTATTAGCCAGCGTAAAAAATAATTAGAAGTTCATGCAGCTTAAAACAACCACATCATGTTTCAACTAAGCAACCTACCTGAAGCTTATAACATTACAAGTTTACCACCTTCAAAACTACCAAACTTTTCCCAAAAGCACAGTAAGCTTTGGGAACATGCTAAAATACTATAAAACAAAATCAAAGCTCTCCTATCCAAGTCTAACTAGAGGGTACAGATTGTATAAATCTATCAATTAGTTCAGGCCAACTTCAGAATTTACACTTCTTACAAAAAATGAGATGGAAACAAAATCTGTAATCCCGACCAGTTGTGGCATTAATTGATTCAATATGGTGATGGTTTATTCATCTTTGCAGCTGACACAATCTTTAAAAGATGCTGTGATTTGAGCAGAATAAATGGAGGATTGGTGCATAGACTGTTCAATTTGTTCAAACATACCAGTCAAATCAGAGGGAAATTAGTAAAAGGCTCATAACAATATGATACAAAATAAGCAACTATCAAGATTAACATGTGCACAAAATGAGGTAACCAAACAAAATATTTATATAGAAGGGTGGCAACAAGCCAATTACAGCGAGGAAATAACCATGTTGATAAAAGCTGAGGTAGAAGTGATGTCTAACCTTGTCATAACTATCAAAAAGGAGCAATATGTTTCAAGTTAAAAGGAGATGCAAGGACAAAAGGAAAGCTATCAAGGATGCGTGTTGAGGTAGTTAGGAATACATTAACGATGACTTTGACAGCAAAAATAGCCATGCACATTATTGGTGGCTAAATCGATTTTCATAATCCATGGCAAATAATTGGGATAAGGCTTAGTTGAGTATATAATCCCCTCAAAAATAAGATACAATGATAGAAGGCTATGGTGAAGGAAAGAAAAGGAATGTGCTCATATAGTCCATAAAGAGTTACAAGTCAAACCACCTCAGACGTTAGCAGAAGAACATCACTCATCCTCAAGAACTTGTCAAGTGCTCTCTGTTCTTCGAGTGTTCCTATCACTAGGGTCTTTCCCCGTGGTCCAGGATAAAAAAAAAATGGCTGTCCCAACTTCAACAACATAATCCAGAGCAGAAATAATCAAACAAGGGGAGAGTTCATCAAAGCCATAACCATTGCAGAACAGGAGCTTTGATTGCTTAATTGCCATCTTTACTTCAATAGATAGCTTGCTTAGCCAACTGAATGCAGGCTCTTTACAAAAATCTGCTTGACTGATAAATAAGCAGGTGTGATGCACCATCCTTTGCTAACAACAATTCATTCAGACATTACTTCTGTCAAAAAATTTATTTCCCTATAAAATTTATATATATTTAAAGAAGGAATAAACCTTTAATTGATTACTTATACCTGCAAAAACCATGTCTGTGAAAAGGGTCCACCAAAACCCAACCTAGAAGTGTCTCATATGCAGCACTTGAACTGTCAACATTGTCACTCAGGTCACTCATCCCAACCGTACCAATTCCTTCATCATGAAGAACATCTAAGAGGAAGCGGCACATACATTTCATCACCAACATGACCAATTGCAACACAATGAAGTCCCAGTCTTGCTGCTGCTATGGCCATATTGCAGTTACCACCAGTTTCCCAGTATTGCTATGAGCAATAACAAATTATGTAAGTCCTAAATTGTGGTGAATAAGGGAAGAACATAGAAAAACAAACACAGATATTCGTCTACAAAAATGTATGGACACGTGTGTGTGTGTGAGAGAGAGAGAGAGAGAGCATATAACGTGACCAACCGTAGTGTGATGACAAAACACTGGTTTAGTTGAATATAAAATCAGCCTTTTGTCACATCCACTCCAGAAGGTCGTAAATTTGAAATCTTTTCATTTCTTTTGTTTTTTTCTTGTGAAAAAAGGGTTCGCGGGGGCAACCAGGGTGGAACCCATGCCTGGGTGTGACTATGGCAGCCTGAACTCACGAGAGAAGTCCACCAGTGGAACCTTGATGGTGGTAAACCGCAGGCACTCCCAAAGTCTACCAAACAAAATGACTGATGGAGTTCCATCACATTGTCCAAGAACAGTGGTGGCAACATCCTAACCACCAGACGGAAACCGCTGGCGCTCTCAAAGTCTACCAAACCAAATCACTGATAGAGTTCCATCAAACTGTCCAAGAACAGTAGTGACATCATCCTAACCACCGTAAAGTGTAGCATTGAGAATGAACACAAGGTTCAACACTTGATTAAATCACTTCACACCAGACTTCCCAATGATCAAATTTGGCTGGTTACAGTAGTGTTGTTTAATTTTAGGTATCTGGTAGTGAAAGATTAATATTGAATATATAGTAACATTGCACATTAATGTATTAGGGTATGGGAGTTGGAAAGAAATCTGATCCAACTTGGTAAGTTTCATTATTATCAAAGGGCTTTGATACTGTGATTTCCAGCAGTGGAGTTTCCAAATTATTACCCTTCCATCCCAATTGTTACCATCATGGTAGAGCTTTCACGATAACACACTGTTTAACGCAAAAGACACTCAGGAACAGAACTGCTTTAAATGGAAAATCAAGCATGCCCTAATGATCTAAAAATTATGAAACTCAGAGCTCGAGCGAAGTGAGAAGAAATTGACCTTATCGAGAAGTGACTTGGACAATTCTTCCATATAAGCTAGCCATTCCTGAAACAACTTGGGAGGCAACTTGGGGACATTGAGAACAATATCCACACAAAGGTTTCTGAGAGTCGCCACATCGAGGTTCGTCATTACGACGCTGCTTCTCAATCTCTCATCATCTACAAAACCATTGTCGGCTAAGCTCAGTGAATTAAGACAGCGTTTGGGAACCGAGAATTCTACTTCCCTACAGCTGAAGATCGAAAAATGTTTTCTTTGGCTGTATTTCAAAACATCGGGGAAAATGGTGTGAAATAGTCTAGGGTTCTGGAGAACAATTTGGTATAGAGAAAATCCATTGCTTCAAATTGGGGATTGGAGAGAGATTGTGAGATGATGCATTCAGAGACGGTGGTGGTTTTGGTCATGGAAGGGGGATGGTGGCGGTGGTGACAAAAAAAATCACTTTTACAGGAAATAATGGACACAATAATGCATGATTAACAAGCCACATCCCAATGTGGAGTATAATTGAAATTTCTTAAAATCACACAGCCACTAAGCTTTGTACGCTAAATCTAGCTGTAAAATACGCTGACATAATTTGTTGACCGAAAAATGTAGGGTTCATGCACTTTTCTTTAAAGGCTCTATGCCCCATTATAAACAAAATTCAAAAAGGAATTATATAAAGCTTTCTGCAATGTTGGGCAAGGGTGCATAGCATGCATACCTTCTTATGTTTAGTAAGCCACAGTATACAATAATATGCATTAATACAGGATACATGAGAACAGTGTTCTGACTACTCCTTTAGAAAGTAGCATCCCAGTGTGCATTAATATAGGATACATGAGAACAGTGTGTTCTGACTACTCCTTTAGAAAGTAGCATCCCAACCATATTTAACTGCCAACACCCCCATCAGCTGGAAAGGGAATATCCAACATATATGATATATCCCATAATCTAAGTTTGCAATTGCAAGCTCATATAAATAAACCTTCAACGCATCAAATCAATGCTCAAAGAACATTTAAATGGTGAGGTAGCTAGAAAATAAGCTCATACCTTCAATTGAGAGACGACAACTGAAATGGCCCTTCCTGGAGCTTGAAGGGCTTTACCATGAACCTATTACCATGAACCTATGAACCAAGAAAAAAACAACAAGAAAAAAGAGGGGGGAAACAAATACATAATTAAATACGGTTGTGGTGTGTATGCTACCAAGTTCAGTAAGAGAGTGTCCACCATAGACGTAGCTGTGGTTCTTAACAAATGTCGGTGTAAAAGCACCTGTGCATCACAGAACAGCTAAATTTTACTCATATGCCTCATCACAGAAATCTAGTAAGAAAAAGTTCAACATAACTTACCGAAGTTGATTGGTCATCTTCAAACAAATCTAGTGCTTTTTCATATAACTGCATATTCAGGAGAGGCTAGAAGCAACAAATATGTAAGAAACATGAAAAGAAAGTTTAGCTTTAGCATACCACTATTGCTAAACTACAATGGTAAAATAACACCTCTAAAGGGTATAGCACAAAGTGGAACCAGAGGTAATCCTTATATACAACAGGGGAAAATGCCCGGAGGTGGAACACATTATGGTGACAAAGCCACCACTATATTGTGCTTACCTCGTCAAGTCTTTGTTGCAAATTATCTAGTAAATTTTTCATTCTCTCTGCATTTTCTGTGAATGCAACCTTACTTCTTTCTTTCCATGAATTGAGGAGCATTGGTCTCAAATGATGTGCTAATGGAACAAGAATTGTCTTGAGATCATCTATACCTACAAAGTCACACCACCATGTCTGTCAACATCAAGCAAAAACGAAATGCCTAATCACCAAGTTAATCAATAAGATAATTGAAACTAAATTCAGAGCACCTTGTTCTTCAAAGTCAGGGACTAGCGCCATGATCTTTTGTTTTGTCAGTAATCTTTGTTGAATCCTACAGTGGAACCCAAAATAAGATACATGCATTAGTTTCAATACAAGTGGAGACCAATTGTTCCCATACCTTGTCATCTTTCTCATCGAGTTTCTTGATTTTGCTTCATGTGCTTTAAACACTCCAACTGATCTAAAATCTCTTACCCCGATAACTCACAAGGTTTTGATTTTTTTCAATCTTACCATTAAATAACTTACTTCGTCGCCAGCTGTGATCTTGCGGCAAGTAACGCCGATGGCCTGTGTAGCCAATTTTGCTTCTTAATGGCTGTGATAATACATCAAAATTATAAATGGGGCATGCTTTGTAACCTTTTGTACTCCATCCAGATAGGTTCCCATAAGCAGGAAAATCATTTATGGTTCACATAATAGCTACACGCATTTGAAATGTATGTTTGCTACATGCATCAAAAGTTATAACACCTTCCCACAATTCTTTCAACTCATCAATTAACGGGCGCAAGTATACATCAATCTCCTTCCCGCGTGCCTGTGGTCCTGGAATAAGCAATGACATCATGAAGAATGGATCACTCATACATTTCCAGGGAGGCAGATTGTAAGGCATCAAGATCACAGGCCACATACTGTAAGAGTTGCTCATCTTGCCAAAGGTTTAAAATCATCGGTGGCTAATCCAAGCCTAACATTATGAGCGTCCCGAGCGAAATCAAGACGTCCACTCACTTCTCTTGGTGCCACCTCATATCTATAGCCGTTTTCCTCGACATAAACAATCTCTGTAACCTCGATTTCAAGGGAAAGTATTGCAAGATCTTATAAGGTATCTTCTTACCCTTACCATCATTGAGCCGATATCTTGACTCCCCACATACTATACACTTATTCAATTTTTCATTCTCCTTCCAAAATAGCATACAATCGTACCTACATGCATGAATGGACTCGTATCCCAATCCCAAAGCACGTAAGAATTTTTTAGCATCATAGAGAAACGTTGGAAGAATATGACCGTCAGGTAAAAGGTCTGACAATAGCTCTAACATCAATGTTAATGAATTATTGCTCCACTTGCTCAATACCCTCAAATGAAGCAACTTAACCAAGAACGACAACAGTGTATATTTTTTACAACCAGGATACAAAACATGTTGAGCATCCTTCAGTAATTTTTCAAAATTTTGAACTTCCTCACTATCAACACCCTCACATGTTTCTCCAACACGAACACCCCCTAAATCATTATCCATGAACATTCCCCTACCAACATCTTCCAACATTTCAGGTATTTCGTCTCGATCATCATCTTCACTGTCGGTCATATCATCCTTGACACTATCAGGATCATGATCATAATCTTCAAAGAATTGGGTGACATTCGTAGGAACAGGTTTTCCATGGTGTACCCACGTCGTGTAAGAGGTCATGATTCCTTTCAAGTACAAATAATTTTTCACAGCCTCATCATCATGCCATTCTGCATTCATGCAATTCCTACATAGACATCGAATTTTTCCATCTTGACTCGAACGTTCCATGGCAAAATTGACAAAATATTTGACCCCATCAATGTATTTCAAATCCAACCTATGCCTAATTGTCATTCAACTCTTGTCCATAATTGATAGCCTACAAAATCACATATTTATGAATGTCATCTACCAAGCATCACACAAACTATGTCGTCGACTCCTTCCTATTTTGGTAGGTGGTCCTAGCCCATTCAAGAATGCACATTCTATATCATAGAAAGAATCTCTTACCGCTTCGTACATCTCTAACTGAAATCCGGCAACATCTCCCCATAGTTCTCCAAGTACACAACATAAACTAGGTGTTGTTGCTACACCCGTCTAGTATGTACACAGAGAACAATGGGATCTGCCACACATAATATCCAAGATATGTAATAAGTTAAGCGGTGAGATACTAACTACAATATAAACTTGTGCATTCCCTAACTATCCGAAATTGGACAATTCAAGAAATCTCCATCGACAAAGAATACTCTATGTCCGATGTGGATTCTTGAACGGGTACTAAAGTTTCATGCAGGCATGCATAGAATTGAAACCTTAATTTATATTAAGGTTTCAATAAATTATCGAAATTCATAACTTTCCAATTCCCAGAAATAAAACGAAGCATCAAAAAAACTACACATATATGATAAATGATTAAGTGATCAAGTGTTGTACCTCTACATATGCTAGCTTGTATGTGTAGCTCTAGTTTTCTTTGGTCCAATAAATTGGATGTCAAAAGAAGACATAGGGTGTCTTTTGGGAAAATTTCTAAACCTCAAGTAGAAGGTGGGTTAGGGATTAGAAGGTTTGACGACATTCAATCTACATTTAGAGTTAAGCAAGTGTGGGGGATTCTAAATGGGGTCTCTCTATGGGACAAGGTCTTTCAGAGTAAGTTTCTTAAAAGAAAACATATTTTGTCTATCATATTTAGACAAAGGTAACCGTGTAGCATGGAACAAATTATGTTCCTCTAGAAGATAGATATGTACCTAACCGATTCATGTGTACTAGCGATAATCATCGAATCTAATAGACAAAACTAGAGTAAACAAATAGGTAGGATATTTTTACCCACCTTTACTGCAAGCAGTCCAAGAAAACAAGGTTTATCAAAAAGGTGAGCCAACAATAAATGTCTCTGATCTCCCTACACAGTGCCCTCAGCATAAAGGAAAAGTCTAATGTCAGTATTTGGAAAAAAACTCATCAATATAAAACTAGACAAGTGATACCCAACAAAGTAACCAAGATAATACAAAACTAAACCAATATAATTGTGTACTAATTATGAATTTTTAACAAAAAAATTAAAATTTTATTTTTGATTATATTCCAATAAATGACATAATAGAACAGCCAATGCCAATGCCCTCTTCACTACTTTCTTTCCTGAAACATGGCTGAGGAAATATGTTCCTTAAAAAAGGTGTGCTTTTCATAATTTATGGTCTTTCTCACTTTCCCATTTTCAGTTTCGTTCTTTACCTTTACCATTCAATTTCAGTTTTGTACTTGTGTGTTCATTTTCTTCCTTTTCCCCTTTCGATAGAATTTGTTTTCTTTGGGTAGTATGAACCATTAATGGGTAGCTACATATAAAGGTTACGTCTTGTTTTTCTCTCATATATGTGCATGCCCTGATTTGATGTTTTCAATGAAAGAAGCTCACTCTGACCATTTCATTTGCCTTATTTTTCTCTGCATATTTAAACAGAACCACACCTAAAATCTCATTTTTCCTTTTCTTTTTCACCATTGATTTTCTTCCTTTTTTTTCTCCTTTTTGATGGAGGTTTTAAGATGGTCTCCACTGGTTAGCTCCTCTCTGTAAAACTTACCATTTTCTGCAAGAATTTTTGGCCCAATTTCTTTATGTCATTTTCTTATCACAGACCCATAATTTTGTTGTTTTTTTTTTTGATATTTTTTACTGGAAAATAACATCTGGGTAACATTCACTACATACAAGACACATTGGTCATAAAGGTGCCTAAGAAAATCAAAGCAAATCCCAGGAACTCTCCAAAACAGAGCAGGTACAAATTCTCAGAAATGCAAATCACCCCCAAAAAGGATAAAAGTATAACAAACAGCCTTCCCACAACAAAGATCCAACGTTTACCCAATACAAATATACAGAGGCTTCTTCTGACTAAAATTTGTGAACAATTTTACAACTACAAACCAACCAAATACAATCAGAGCTGAATTTGTGGGGGAAAACAAGATAGAAATTCTAATTCGTATATGTTACAAAGAGAGAGAGATGTAAACGAAGAACCTGGTGGGTGAAACCCACCGTGGAGTGAATCGATGGAGGCGGGGATGATCGATGGAGCTTGTGGCTTCACTGGGTTGTGGCTTCGAGTTTAATCGATGGATAGGCACGGAGAGGCAGAGAGAGAGGAGGCGGCGAGAGTGGAGTGAATCGATGGAGACAGAGAGAGGAGGCAGTGATGATAGATGGTGCTTGTGGCTTCAGGGTGCTTGTGGCTTTAGTGTGCTTGTGGCTTCACTGGCTCGTGGCTTTGAGTTCAATTGATGGAGAGGCAGAGAGAGTGTGTGTGTGTGTGTCGACTGAAAATGAAGAAAGAAAGATGGGGAAAGAGGGAAAAAGGGTTGGGTAAAGCAAAGAAATGACCAAAACGCTGTCTTGTATCTTTAAAAAATTATATTCAGCGACGTAAATAACAAAAACGTCGCACTTTACTATTTTTTTTTTTGCTATATTAAATGTGCTTATAATTTATATTCTGCGATGAAAATAAAAAGGTCATGATTTAAATTTTTTTTTTATTTTAACTGTAAATATGGTTATAATTTATATTCTGCGACAAAAATAAAAACATCGCAACTTAAATTTTTATTTTATTTTTAATATTCTCAATAAACTTATAAATATTCCCAACAAACTTAAAAATATTCTCGACAAACTTATAAAAAAACATTGCGAATTCATATTTTTATTTTATTTTTACTTTAATAACTAAAATTAACATTCTGCGACAATAAATATTTTCACTGAGCAACATTACTTTTTTTCCTTTTTTGACATTATGCCACGTTTATGTATATCGAATACAAAAGAAATAGAAAATCACTAAAACCTGTCCCTCACACCATTCTTCATCCCACAAACTTGTCCAATACCTTTGTCAGATTTCCACTTGGGATTAGCTCAATCTACCAAACAAAAAAGTGAAAAAAAGAAGAAAAAAATAAAATTAAGAGAAAATCCCCAACTTTCTCTACCGACATCTACCAAAATGACACTCAAGACAAAAAAGTTATCCAAATCCACAGAGTAATAGTTAAAGAACAAGAAATTAGTCATCCAAAACCACTAATCCCAAGAACTTAACCAAGTCATTGCAAATATTTAATAAGTTTAAAAAAACAAAAAATATGAGACTCACAAGAAGCATACAGAGTTTGCACTTTCATGTGGAGATGCAAAAACTCACCGAAAAA